TTGTCCCGAGTGCAGATCTGGGGGCACATGCCCCCCAGGGAGAGCCCAGCGCAGCCCCCCAGCCTGCAGCCCTCCTGGGGTGCATGTAGCAGCAAGAGACACAAACCCTATCCCACACCCCACAGCTATTGACAGTTCCCTCCGCTATACTCCCTACTGCAGGCCTGGAAGTGGCCAATGGGCTGTGCCCTGCCCCTTCCCTAGTCCCAGCCTTACTCCCTCCCTCCGTCACTGCCACAGGAATGTATTATTATTTTCCCCAGTTTAAACTGATTTTTTTTCCTTTTCTTCCTTTTATCCCAATTTCAACCCAGTTTTTATGTTTGGAAGATAAACCCTGTAAAATTCCGGGTTTTTTTTTAAATAAAAACTGAAAATGTGGACCACTACTGACAGGGCAAGTGCAGGCCCCACTGTCATGGTTGCTCCGCTGGGGACTCGTATGCTGGTGACTGGAGCCATTTGCCCTATGAGTCCTGCCACTGGCTCCAGTAGTGTGGGAGGAGCTAAATGAAAAGGAAGTGAGTTTTGAATAAAAACTGAAGAGTGAACATGTGGTGATATGCAATGCATTTAGTTTTTAGGCATTTCTATCTGTAATGGAATGTTACAGTTTGAAAATGCCATGTTTTCTGCACTCTGTCTTGACTGTATGTTTGTTTAGTAGAATTTAAAAAAAAGATTTTACCCAAAGATGGACCAGTGGAGCAATGCGATCTGATTGTATTTATTTGGTCTTCTCCACTTAATTAGAATGCAGTTAATGAGGAAATCCAGTTAATTTGTAAAAACGTATTTAAGTTTAATGATATGCAAGGCTAGGATTGCTGCTCAATGGAAATAATAATTCTGTTTAATTGGGATGCTTTCAGGTGATGTAATGGTTCAAGCTGATGCTTAGCTCCTTGTGTTTCAACCTCATGCTGGATCTCTCTTTCCCTCTAGTAATAGCTTGCAGTTGCACTTTACAGGCAACATTTAGTGCTTCATCACTTACGTGCTTTCACCTGCCAACTATCACAGAATCACAGAAAGTTAGGCTTGGAAGGGACCTCAGGAGGTCATCTAGTCCAACACCCTGCTCAAAGCAGGGCTGTCCCTAGCTAGATTATCCTGGCCAAGGCTTTGTCTACCCAGGTCTTAAAAACCTCCAAGGGTGGAGATTCCACAACCTCTCTAGGTAGCATGTTTCAGTGCTTTACTACTCTCCTAGTGAAGAGGTTTTTCCTAATATGGAACCTAAACTTCCCCTGCTGCAGCTTGAGACCGTTGCTCTTTGTTCTCTTATTGGCCACCACTGAGAACAGTCTAGCTCCATCCTCTTTGGAACCCCCCTTCAGGTAACTGAAGGCTGTTATTAAATCCTCTCTCGGTCTTCTTTTGTCTAGACTAAATAGGCCCAGATCCTTCAGCGTCCTCTCCTATCCCACTCCTGTCTTTTCTCTCCACAGAGCTGTACAGTAATGTAATAAGTTTGCTGCAGCTTCCTTGGGCACCATCAAAATGGTGTCATCTCTTAACCAGAGGGTGTATATCATTAGTTCAAGGGACTGGTAATGGGATAGAGAGATTCTCTTGGCTAGGTCTTTTGTTCATATTCAGCCCAGATCAGCAGTGTCACCTTCCCATGTATTTGGTGGTAGCCTACTGAACGAAAGTTTCATATTAGATGGCTGCTCTGTGGTTTATAGGAAATGAATTAGTAGTCTCAATCCAATTCTCAGTGGGCACAAGATGGGCACAACATCTACACAAAATTCTTACTGCGCAGTAGCCTGCCGGTCACAAATCGTGCTAATACGCCACTGCACTGTGTTATTAGGATACTGGACAGCGAGTGTAAAAAAAGGAAAACAAAACCCCTGTGTGCCGGTGCTGCTGCACATTAGTGCAAGTAACTGTGCATTGAATTGGTACTTGGTTAACCAAGTACTAAACTTAATGTACAGTAACTAGGGCGTATTAATGAACATGCAGATGTGCCAGTAGAGAGAATATGTCTCACTTGAGCACTTTGTTGATAGTATTGTCAGTGAACAAAGGGGCAGAAACTCAAATGTTCCCTCACTCCTAGAGAAGGTCTCTGTATATCGGGATTCAGTTAAGGCTGGCAGAAAGCGTTATAGAAAACCTGCATATCTGCTGCTTCTATCCAGCCTTTTATGTGCAGCAGCACAAGAATTAAATCTCCACTTCTGCTGGCAGTTTCTCATGTCTGTTACACTGACTTAAATGGGCATGAGGGAAAGGTATGTTTGTAAAAACACAAAAAGATGACTAGACTAGAGCAATTTTTTCACAGCATGAGACTGTTTGGTAGTATGTTAATATAACGTGAGACAGCTGTACTTCCAACTAAGAGCTTAATAGTGGTTTGTGGGATCTAAACTAAGTAAGCAAACATGCTCAGAGCTTGAAATTAGATCTGTTGAACCCCATGGTGCTGATCCTACTAGAAGGTGGGTATGTCTACATGTGCATTAATGCGCTATAGTTACTGCACATTAAGTTTAGTACCTATAATAACAGGTACTAACTCAATGCACAGTAACTAGCACTACTGTGCAGTAGCACCAGCATATACCTTTATAGTGACGTTAATGCACAGTAGACTAATTCTACTGCATGTTAGCACATCAGCACAGCTTTTGCCATGATGCAGTAATGCACAATAGAATTAGTTTCCTGTGCATTTAATGTCTCGTGTCAATGTGCCTGGTGAGCTGCAAAAGAAAGTTGCAATCCATTATGCTACAAGTTGGGAAGATGCATAATGCAAGCCAACAAAAATGGGAAGTGATATAATTTTTAAACCATCTAGCAGATCAGCAACTCCTTTGCGAGCTAAAGGGAATGAAATTACAGCACATCAGTAAGAACTGGAAATGGCATTTAATAGCAGTTTAAAGATGATTCCACTGATCCATGTGAAATTGGACCTTCCTATCAAGGTCCTTCAGACCTCCATCATTTTAACCTAACTGCATTTAAAATACTAATTAGGACCTGGGGAAGAAGGGGGGGTAGGCATTTGAGAGAAAGTCAGATCTGACCAGGTAGCCTAATTAAAAAAATATTAAGCTGTGTTTATGAATCCTCCAAATATTTCAAGTGGGTTTAGCTAGCACTGTTTTTGGAAGCATGTGTTTTCCCAGACTAGACAAAGTTTGCAGAAAAGAGTATGCTGGAGCTGAATTATTCTGCAAGGGTGGAGATAGCAGTGGGGACAGAAGCCGGAATGAACTGCTGAAAAAAAACGAGTCACACATGTGAAGGAAAAAAGGTAATAAGAAAGCATATCTAAAATAAGATTCATTATAAGCTTGCTGCTGTGGATTCCCCTCAGCCCAGATCTTCACCAGCAGAGGAAAGGGACAAAATGGACACTCTGTTTGCTTCAGACAAAATGCGTGAATGGTACTTTGCTTATTGTGTCATTTAGGTGGAAAAGGCAGAAGGATCTGAGCATGTACATGTGCATGTGTACACCCAAACTCATGCCCTCTCTCATGTCTATTTAGCAATAGTTAAAGATGGTTTAGTCATCACTGGGTGCATCTACATGTGATTTGTTGCTGAGTAGACTAATTAGCTCCACAGTAAAGCATCACCATGTGTGCTGGTATTAGGGCACAGTAAGCTAATTAACTCTACCTTAAAATAGTACTCTCCCTAACAGACAGTATGGCAGAGTAATTAACTGCACTGAAACACACGTGTAGGTGGTGACCAGGTGGGGGCCAGCCAGACTCTTGCCTGCCACCTAGCCGCACGGTTCCACAGATTCAGCACCTTTGTGCCCCAGCCAGCCACTCCATTGCCTGACGCCACCATCTGGAGCTCAGGACTGACACCCCAGGCTGACTGCAAGCCCAGGCCTCCTCTGCCCTCGCTTCAATTGCTACCATCCTGGGCAGACATGTAGATGCTGTGCCTGGAAGCAGTTTGCTCCAGCTCAAAGAGTTCTGGAGTTTATTGCTTCGCTTTAATTTCATGTGTAGATGCATGCACTGTGAAGCAATCTTTGACAGTGGCCATTTGCAGTATGTGACATGGTGCATATGGCTTTCCTTTACATGCTGTCATTCACCAAACATCATAGCTGTTTCACAGTATCCTATCCCACTCCACTTCCTGGAGAGGGACCAGGCAAGTCAGAAGATGTTGGAGGAATCGGTACTAATTTAGTGGCATGATTTTGTTGTTTGAGTGATGCAGAACTGCAATTTGGGAGAGGAATGAAGCCTTAATTGGAAGTGTATCTGCGCACAACATATTGGCAGTATGAATCACCAAATCCCACCTTGGTGTTCCAAACCTTCGCCCCCCCCGCTGATCTACTAGTCTGGACACCCCTCCCACTGCTCCTCTGCAACATTAGTCCTGTTTCTGACCCCTCTACTGGCTGGTAGTTGTTAAATCCCGCTTGGGGGATTTCCACAAAGGGGAGGCGAGGCACAAAGCAGTTCTGCCAGAATTTCACCCCCTGGACTTTATGGCACTAAAAAATTAAGTGAAATGGGATTTGGGTGCCTAACCTAAAGTGACATTTTTATTATAGCTAAACATAGTTTTATCTGAGCACCCGAGGAGTGGGATAAATGCTTAACCTGGGTAATTTTAATGCCACTTGAAAAATATTGTAAATCAATAAGCATCTACTTCTGATAAATGTTATCAGAAATAAATGAAATTATTTGTATCTATAATTAGAAATATGAAAACTGGCAAAGGAGGCCAGTTCAATTCTATCAATTTTTAGGAATACAACAAGCTCTTAGAGCAACTTCAAGGAACAAGAGAGTGGAGCTGGATGACAGGTTAAATGCTATTTTGATAAACTTCTTCACTTGCTAGTCACACACTCTCCACAGATTCATTATTGGAATTATAATTCTGCTTCAGGCTTCTGGACAGAAGCTTGCTAGGGTTGTTGAAGTTAAAGACCTTAGTTTTTGTAATTTCTAGGTATTCATGTTAAACAGAATTGCCAGAGGAGCAAGCTTTCCAAGTTGTTTCATTTATTTCTTAATATCACAGCTGTACAGTTTTCATACATACAGAAGGAAATGCACATCGGTTAACCAATGGCATTTGGCTGCATTTCCAATTATAATACAGTAAGTGCAACTCCACTTAAAAATGTACATTTATACAACTTATACAAATTAAAGATTGCTACATTATTATCTGTGACAGTATAAAGCTTGTTTTAAGTTTCATTACTAAACCACTTCCCGGTTAAATATAAAATGTACTGAATCATTTAAAATGGCCCTTGTGGTACCTGGCCAGTATATAAAATATTTGTCATGTAAAAGTCAACCATTTACTTTTTGTAAAAAATAATCTTCTAACCCTATTTCAACATTTGTTATTAAACTGTTATACTGACACACTTTGTAGCAGGAACTGGAATTTTTACCTTTGTTCTGTTAGTTCTTGTACTGGTTGTCAATGAAAGAAATTTAATTTGCAAGGTACTGTAGCTTTATTCAAATACAGCCGGATGGCAATACTATTTGACAATTTGCTCAAAAGGTAAATAACATTCCCTTATGAAGAAAAACGAAATGGATGTTCAAGAAATATTGTAATTGAAATTTTAATGGGTACAGTGCTACAAGCACACACAAAAAAATATTCTTTTTTCTTAAGACCCAGATGAACACTACACTTAAACTTTTATTACTTTGTTTATTGTTAAATGTTGGTCCATGGACCACTTTCTTGTTTATAGCTGTACCAAATGAAAAACAAAATCAGTCTTATTGCCGTCCCTATAACAGGAATGGTTCAGTTTCTAACCTCCTTTAAAAATATACATTTTACAATCTTTGCACCTCCACAAAGGTGACACTGACAATAAATACACTGGTTTGGTGGTTTTAGTTTTCTTTGCTATTAAAAGTCTCCAAACTACCTGTTGTAGGCCCTTTCTTTTTTTGATTTCTCTAGTGCCTTGTCCATAGTTTTCTCGTTTTCTCCTCTACATTTGGGGCAATACCATTTACCCTTTGGTTTATGATTGAGTCCCACACATGAGAAATGAAACCACTCAATTGGACACTCATCATTATCACATCCTATCATTTCTCCATAGGAGACTTGATTACATAAGCAGTATGTTGGCTCATTGGGATCAATAGGAAGATCTGCTGGGGAAGCCTCTCTCTCTGCTTTTGCCTTGGAGCGCTTCTTTTTCTTGGATGTTTTTGCTTTCTTCTCTTTTGGAGTTCCTGAGGTGATGTCATCGTGATCGTGATTATTAGAAGCATTTTCTCGATTTTCATTATTCCTCTGCCGCCTTGACCTCTTGTTGTTGGGCTTTTCTGCCTGAGCGATTGTTTCACTCTTTGACTTATCCTGACTGGCTTTGCCACTGTTCCCAGTAGTGTCATTAGTCTCTTGACAAGTCTCAAATAGTTCCACGTGACCATCCACTTGTCTGGTTCTGTTCTCAACGAGCTCCACCATCTGGCTGACAATTTGGATTTTTTCATCTCCCAGCTCCTGACTCCTGATCAATGCTCTCTGTATGCAATGCAACAGTCTTCTCTTCTGCACTGCATCTGTCTCTCGTTTGAACTTTTCATAATAATCATCCAGCTCCTTTAAGATTTCTGTAAAAGAAAAATAAAAACTATCAATAGTAGGCATAGGCAGAAAGTCTGAACAAAACCTTCCCGTATTCAGTCCTTGCTAATGTAGCAACACCTTCTTGTAAAGTGCAAAGATGATCAAAGGTGGACTCTCCAAAGCTGAAATCTGACAACAAACAGCTCATATCTCTAGCAGATTATTTTTGCTTCAGCAGGTCTCTCTAGAACAGAATGCAAATGCAACTGGTTTGGATATGGAAAACTGTTATTTCATTTTGGACTGCTGAACTCTGAGTGCTTGTACATGTGCCTAGTGGCAAGTGATGTCTATGAAACAGCTCGTTGCAAACAATGGGAAGTTATAGAAGACTAACAAATGTGTGTCCTGGGTCTTGAGACTGTTTCCTTGTAGATAAATACATATTTTAAACTAATTTCCATCAGCAGCAACTCCAAAATTAGTTCCAAATTCAGAAATGGAAATAAGACACTGGTTATTTTTCAGACCATCTTCCAAGTATTAACATTCTTTGAAAAAAAAAAAAAGCCCACAAAGAAACTTCCTCCAAATTAAAGATGACAGAAGTACATAATTTTTGCTCACTAGAAATGGTTGAAAGAGGCAGAGGGAGCACAAATCACTGCAGAAAACAGATACTGAGTGAGTTAATGATGACACCCATACTTTATAACTGATACAGAAATCAGAATGCCATGGGCTGGCTCCTGGGCAACAAAAATCTTTGCTTGATAGGGCTAATAAAACTGTTCCAATCTTTTGTTCCTCCAGTTGTGGGGCTAAAAAGGACTAGAGCCCTGGTTGCAGGATAAAGGTGAGCCCCTTTTGGGTTTGTTTTTTTCCCCTCCCACACACATTCTTTGAAATAGGTGCATTACCTTCAGTAAATACATCAATATACTCTCTGTATGCGTTTACCCAGAAGAACCAAGTAAACATTAAAATAACATTAGGACGTTATAATATACAGCGTAAGTCAGAGTTTTTTATGTGCATCAATCAAATGCATTTATCATATATGTTTGTCAATCAAATGTAGATAATTTAAGTGACACTATTGTAAGACTGTAAGGTTGTAGTCAATGGAGTGTTTGAGAGATCAGTCTGAAGAGGAAGACACTTAAAATGGTCAAGTATGTGGTTCTAAAGCACCACTAGCTTGATCCAACTCCCTTCAACAGAAGTGAGATGTAGTATCTGCTAAAACTCTTTTCTGTTTCCTCTTTATAAATATACTCAACCCTAAAGGAGATATCTAGAATATGGACTTTAAACCACCTCAGATTCTAAGCTGTTTCTCTGTCCGTTCACCTTGAAATAAGCAGAGAAGAGGTTAGATTGATAATCAAAAAATGAAGCTTTAGAAAGAACATAACACTTGCTGAAGCATAAAACTAACAGTTTTACTCCAGTAAAAGTTATGATCCTATCTAAATTCAAATTAGATCTCAAAGGTTTTGTCTTTGAATTTCACAAGTGTGAATACCTATTTCCCAAATCAGATTCATTTTTGGACAAAAGACATTTTAGCAGTAACTGATACTAAATAACACTGAAGATCGTGTGACTTAAGCTTTATATCTAGGGTAAAAATGCGCCTTTTCCAGATCGTATTTATAAACACATCGTAGAACTCTGACGTAGACAAACTAAGTTTTGCTTTAGTTAGTACAGCTGCAATAGAGGCTCCCTGCCAGGGTTCAAAGCAGCCAGCAAGCAGGTGCTGAAGTGCTACTTGCCTCCCCTCCCCAAGTGTGTTATGGACATGCCAGCTTGCATATTCTTATAAAACAAAGTACCTTGCATTCTACTGATGACAAACGCTTCAAAGTGATTTAAATGTCCATCATCAATTATTCTTAATGACTGAAAGAAGTTCTAGGATACGATTTGGGGGCACTTGATTACTGTCACTGTTAGGTTAGCCCACATGAACGTGATATAAAGATAATTTTTCTCGGAGAAACAGTTTGCTTTACTTAGAGCCAATATGCTTAAATATAGGCTACTAAAATGTAATGACTTACCTAAAATAGTTAAATTTATTACTCCCAGCATATTGCCAAACTGCATGACAGATGTGGAAGCATATGGAAAAAATGCCATTTTCCAGGAGCTGCTTAATAATTTATCATATTGAGAGAAAAGCATTTAATTTAGTCCTGATGGTCTTAATTCTGCAAGGTGCTAAGCACTTCTCCTGTGTTGCTAATCAAATTCCTCAGCAGACTGCAAAATGCCAAGCAACGTTTGCTGCTGTTTAGATACCCAGATAAAAACGGTTTCTCAGCACTAACTGGGTGTTCTTATAGGTGAAGTTTTGGAGTGGATACAGAACACAGCACTGAAATGTGATGTTAAGCAAGGAAGTGTTGCCAACTGCAACTGAAAGCAGTGCTGAGTGCCAATTCCTTATGCAAGGGAGCTCTGCAGCACAACCTATCTGTTCTCTCCAGAACAGCTAATGTTAACCTCTCCTAGTTGAAGTACTGTATAGACCCCATAGGAGGTCTAGGCATTCCAATGTCTCTCAAAACAGTCAAACACCTCTACAGCTACCTACTAGGCTTTGATGCAATACAGATACCTGGCCTGCCTGAAGTAGGTTGATAAACTTGGAAATAGATCATTTCCACCCCACCGCCCTCCATCCCCTCCGCTCACAGATACAGAACCAAAAATTCTGCAAAAAACCCGTATTAGTTATAAGAGGCTGCTGGTGTGCTTTCTGCAGGGTGTCAATCTTTGCTTGCTTCATTTTGTTTTTTTCAGAGGACATAATAAAAAAGAGGTTTCATTGCAACAATTGCAGGAGTAGCTTTCTAAAGGGGTCCTTAACTTCTCTAGCAAGTCCAATGAAGAACAGTATCCACTTGAGTGTTCCTAGCACAGTGATTCTCAACCGAGATGCCTTCAAAGGGTGGGGAGAAATCTGACCAGTGAGGTGTGAGGAGATAAGCAGATAAGCACAGGCTAGTTTGTATCTGGTGGATCCTGCACCCCCAGGGCACAGACCCTCTGCAAGGAGGTAAGCACTGTAATATACAAGTGAGTTTTGGAAATTGGGTGCCTCTCAATTCAGAAGTTATGGAGCTCCTTGAGTCCAAAAATGTAGAGAAGCCCTACTCTGGTGGAAAAAGCGTGCATCATATAGCCTATGATACATTTACCTATGCCTTCTATCTTGCCAGAGACAGGGTCTGCATGAGCTCCCCCAGGCTAAGGCCAGCACAGCCATTTTTCACCATTGCTACTGCTCGAGCATATTCAACCTCAGCCATATTATCAGCACCCCCTGATGTTTTAACCCATGTGTCAACTAACCATGTCCCAAGGTAGACAGAAATGACTGTGGCCTAAAACATCTTGCGACCTGAGAAAGAAACACCTTGCATTTGAAAGCTTGGCTAATTCTGCTGCAACTACGTAGTCAGTCTCACTCTAAGCAATCCTGGCCACTCGTGTCATTTCTGGGACGTCACAGCCACAACATCCCTCTTAGACTATTATTAGATTAAAATGTCGCTATTGAAGGGAACAGGAACAGGCTTGGTCACCTGTGTGTGCTGGGGAGTCCTAAACATCCCTCATCCCTTTTTTGCTCACCCCATTCCTCTCCCCACATACTCTGAGCCCAGAAGCAGTTCAGGCTGAATCACAAGGCTTAACACAGAGACAAGATTTTCCCTGAGTGATGTCTTTTATTGGACCAACTATGCAGTTGGGGTAGTTAGACAAGCTTTCAAATGTAAGACATTTGTCCTTAGCATGTACAGAAGCCATTTCAAGGGAGTTGGGATGCACAGTGATCACATCGAGTGCTAATAAGGAGAGAACAATGGTCAGGAACCATGACTCAGTTTCCCTGCTTCCTATTCAATTGGCCAAGAGCTCCTTATCTTAGAGGGAGGAATGGGAATAGAGAAGTGTGAACCTGAACTGTATAAAGCTCCCCCACACAAAGGCAGAGGGGTGGGAGCCTGGAACTTGCCTCAGTCACAACTCTGAGGGCCCTGAGACCTCTCCACCTGGGAATGAGTATGTCCCTGTGTTCTCTGTATTTAGCTGCTCTTGGTTATGTTGCTGATCAATAATATCCCAATAAACTGGGGGTATGGTTGGGAGGAACTTGCTTTGGCATCTCTTAGACTCAGATGTATATTGGGTGGGACCTCAGGAGGTCATCTAATCCAGTGGTTCTCAACCTTCGGTACCTTGCGTACTCCCTGCCAATCAACACGGTAAAAGCGAAATTGGAACATTTTGGACTCTGACTCCTCACCATGGCACTTCCAGTTTCATCACCATGAGCCGAATCCCACTTTTTCCACTGGGGCAAGGCAGCCTGCTCAGGGCCTCCCTACTTATCCCCCAGCACATTGATGCTGGGAAGTGAAGGCCCTGGCACCAGACAGGGCAGGAGGGGCAGCAGCCGGTACTTCCAGCCTGAGCAGGCAAAGACCAAAACGCAGCACCTGTGAACCCCCTGCTTGTGTCTCACGTACCCCTAGGGATACACGTACCACAGGCTGAGAAACACTAGAATCCAACCCACTGGTCAAGGCAGGACCATCCCCAGCTAGATCATCCCAGACAAAGCGTTGTCTAGCTCGGTCTTAAAAACCTCCAAGGATGGAGAGTCCACAAGCCCTCTAGGTAACCTGTTCAGGTTTACTACCCTCCTAGTGAGAAAAGTTTTCCTGTCTAACCCAGAGGTGGGCAAAATGGCAGATCTGGCTGGCAGCTGGACTCAATTTCCCAGCAGCCCCTTCTCTCATTGCTTCAGCAGATCTCCATGGGGACCCTAGGAGAGATGGGGCCAGGGTCTAACGGAGACCAGCGCAAGCAGTGCTGGCAGGGTGACGGCTGGGCACGGAGCTGCTCCAAGGCCAGGGCCTTGTGATGGTGACAGTGTAGGCCAGAGCTGCAATCTGCTGCCCCTGGGGCAGGCAGACAATGGATCACAGCTCTGTCCCAGCTCTGCCCTGCACTGTCAGCACGGCAAGATCCCGGCCCAACCCCAGAGCAGCTCACGGCCCTGACACAGCCGCCTGGGCCGGTCTCTATGGAAACACCGGCCCTGTGCATCAAGGCCCCGCTGCTGGGATTCCCGTGGAGACCTGGTGGAGCAACGCCAGCAGGGGCTGCTGAGGCTAGACTTTGCCTGCCCCGACCTAACCTGAACCTCACTTTTTTT